ACAGAGGAGGCAGAATTTGCAAATCAGAAACTCCTTTTAATAGAAATTTCTCCAACCTCTGATAACAATACAAACAACTCCTTTGAGTGTTTCTTCCTGGAAAATTCCTTTCTGAAAGTAAGTATGAGAAGCCCAGGGGCTTCCCTGATAGTCCAGTTGAGAACACCCCTGTCAATGCAGGGGACACAGGGTTAGTCCTTGGTCCAGGAAGATACCGCGGGCCACGGAGCGACTAGGCCTGAATGCCACAAGTACGGGGCCCATGGGCTGCAACTACTGAAGCCCTTGTGCCCTAGACCCCATGCTCTCGACAGGAGAAGCTACTGCAACGAGAAGCCCGCACACCACAACAAAGAGTAGCCCGGATTTGCTGCAACCAGATTCAGACACTTTCTAAACTGGAAGATGCAATGGGCTTGTCTTTCTGTTTACTTCTTCCTTCCTTCTTTTCCTTTTCTTCTCTTTCTCCTTCAACTACAGTGCTGATGGTACATTGTTGTTTGAAATTACCTGCAACCTCCACCCCCACCAAAGGTTTATATATGTATCTCCCCACCTTAAACTCAGGAGGGGCTATGTAATTTGCATTAGTCAACAAACTGAGGGAAGGGAAGTATAAGGGACCTGAGCAGAATCTTTAGTAGGCGGCCGACAGTGGGCCGTGTCTTTTCTTCCTTTGCCATGAGACTAGCTATGTTCCCGGTAGAGCCTGCTTGGTTAGACATGATGATAGTGTAGTCAGCACTAACTCGGATGGATGTGTAGTATAAGCAAAAAAGACATCTTTCTTGTGTAGAACTTCAAAAGGTACAATTGGTTGTTTCAGCCAATCCTAAAAGGATTGTTGAGGAGACTGAATTTGAATAGTATCTCTGCCAATTACAGGTTAAATTCAAACCTAGGTCTGTTCTTACTATGAAACATTGGTCTTAGTTCTGTAAAATGGGATTACTAATGGTGGCTACCTTTGAGGGTCATTATGAGGATTGAATGACTTTAAAAAGAGACTAAGTTATTTGTAAAGGGCTTAGAATAGTACCAAGCAAATATAGTATTGTTGTTTTTTAGTTGCTAAGCTGTGTTTGATTCTTTTGTGACCCCATGAACTGTAGCCCACCAAGCTCCTCTGTCCATGGGATTTCCCAGGAAAGAATGCTGGAGTGGGTTGCCATTTCCTTCTCCAAAATATAGTATTAGTATTTGTTAAATAAATCCATGTGTGTGTGTGTGCACAACAAAGTCTAGGAAGGAATATGATACAGGATTAACAGTTACCTTAAAGTGTTTCCTCTTTTTGTTTATCCACATCTTTTAGTTTCACCCCAGCACACATGTAATTCTGATATAATTCTAAAAATCTACTAAAAATCTACTTTGCATTGAGAGTCTTTTTTTCTTTTTAAATTGTACCTAAAAAAATGTATGTTTTATTACAATTTCATTACTTCCACAGGACTGTATCTCTAATTGTGAAAATCAACAGGAAAACAGGTGTTACTATGTGGAAGTTCTATTAATGCCAATTTTCTGGAACCATGGAGTAGGCAGCACTTGAAGCCAAATTCTTGAGAAGGAGGTGAAATAATTATCATCACATGCATTTTATTTTGCATGCACGGCCTGAAAATACTGTTTTCTAACAGAACTGAAATTTTTTTCCTTAAATAAGATAAGGTTGTTTAGTCATTAATAATTATATCCCTGCTTCTCTGGGCCAGGCTCAAAAGTCAATAAACATTAAGCTCTGGCTTCTAATATTACCACCATGGCAGGAGACAAATTAGTGAGGAGTAGCATTACTTTTGATGGACAGAGGTAGGGGTGAGACCAGGTCACTTACTCAGATTGCTGTCACTGCAACAGCCTTCCTGTTGCCTGCATCCAACTCCTTTTATTTGCTCTGGCTGAGGAGAAATCTTGGCAAGAATTTACACAGAAAAATCATGATCCAAGAGCAATTGTTAATACCCATGTCTAGGACTGGCCTCAGCCATCCCAGCTGGAAAACCTCAAGGAGACAGCGTCAAAACTATTGATATCAAATAGTGATAAATAAAGCATCTACACTGAAAATTATGAAATACTACTGAGAGTTATTAAAGAAGATCAAAATGCATGGAAAGGCATGTTATATTCATGGATTGTAAGATTGAATATTGTTAGAATGTTCATTTTCCCTAAATTGATCTAAAGATTCCAGGCAACACCAAAAATCTCAGCAGGCCTTTTTTTAAAAAAAGAAACTGATGAGCCAATTAAAAATTTATATGGAAGAACAATGGATTTAGAACAGACAAAACAATCTCTAAAATTAAAAAAAAAAAAAATTGGAAGACAAGGTACCTAATGTCAAGACTTACTATAAAGTTCCAGTAATCAAATAGATCAATGGAACAGACTAGAGAATTCAGAAACAGACACATACATATACATCAGCTGATTTTCAACTGAAGTGCCAAGTAAATTCAATAAGGAAAGGTTTTTAAACAAATGCACCTGAAACAACTGTATGTTCCTCAAAGCCTACCTGTATAAGTGAATATTGATTTGAGATGAATCACAGATCTAAATATAAAAAGCTGGAACCATAAAGTCTCTATAAGAAAACATAGGAAGAATTTTTATAATCTTAGGATAAAGAAAGATTTATTAGAGAGGACATAGAAAATATTAACTATAAAAGGAAAATATAGATAAGTTAAGCTTATGAAAAATTGAAACATTCATTATGAAAATGAGTAAGTAAACCCCAGACTGGGAAAAATTGTCTCAATACATGACAAAGGACTCAAATTCAGAATACATGATAATAAAAAAAACCCAAATGACCTGATTTTAAAAATGAGCAAAAGACTTGAGGGGACACTTTAGAAATGATACTTAACATGCCAGTTATCAGAGAAATGAAAATTAAAACCACGATGAGATATCATTTCACATCCACTAGAGTGGTAAAAATTTAAAAAACTGACAACATGAAAAGTTGGTGAGGATGTGAACTAGAGCCTTAATACATTGCTGGTGGGAATATATTTAAAATGGTACAACCACTTTGGAAAATTTTTTGGCAATTGACATTCACTTCCTCAGCAACCCAGCAATTCTACTATTGGGTATTTATCCAAGAGAAAGGAAAATATATGTTTACAAAAAGGCTTATAGAAGCATATTCATAGACCTCATTCATAACATCCTCAAAGTAAAAAGAATCCATATAAACACAAATAGGAGAATGCATAAACACATTCTGATATATTTATATAATGAAATAATACTTAGGAATAAAAAGAAACCATTGATACACACAACAAAGTGGATATTTCTCAAAAAAGACCATGTTGAGCAAAAGAAGCGAGATACAAAAGACGGTATACTAAATGATTTCATTTACATGAAGGACAAACATAGGCAAAACAAATGTAGGATGACAGAAGTCAGAGTGGTTGCCTTTTGGGTAGGGGAAATTGGACAGAAAGCAGATGGGAGAATCTTCTGGACTGATAGAAATCCAATGTATCTTATTTCTGGTGGTGGTTGCACAAACTGTATTAACTATACTTAAGTAAGAATACTTAAATATTCTGAAACTGAATACTTAAAATCTGTTATTTTACTGCCTGTAATTATACCTCAATTAAAAAAAAAGACATTTCAGGATAAAAAAGCATGGTATGTTTATAAGTGCAAATGACTAAGATACTCAGGGCTGATGGTTGCTTCTTTTATTTAATTTTAGCCTAGAAAGCAAGAGTTCAAACCCCTGTCCCGGTGATAAATGATTCCTGTGTTTTAGTTCACAGTAATGAAAGAGTTATTTATGAAAGCCCTTTCTCATCATGATATGTGTCATACAGGGGTTGAAAATATCAAAATCGATGAAATAAATTTTATCTCAAGTGGAATAACTCGGGACATGTGAAAAATAATCAGCAGCATGTGAGAAAGGACATGGGAGCTGGTTTTAAAAACTTCGGCTGGTGGAGTAAGAACAATGTGAGGGGGAGAATTACTCAAATAAGCCTCTGTATTCTATTCCTTCTAGCTCCAAGTTACATTCAGCAAGTTTTGCTCCCCAAAAAATTAATAAAAAATGATTGGTATCTGAAAAACAAACCCTGGGACCACACATTATTTTATGATACAAAGAACTTAAATTAATTCATGAACCTTTCTTCTGTACCATGATTTACTTCCACAGGCAAGGCACTGTGTCTCTTGCAACTCGTCTTTACATCCTTAGAAGAATCTAGGTCAGGATCTTGAAATTAATGGATCTGCAATATTTATTGACTTGAATTAATAAATCAATGTACTGACTAATTAGTTAGAATTTAAGTCCCAATTACATGTTCTTGTAATGGGAAATTTACCAAAATTATTTTATAATATCTTCATATAAAATGTTTGAACCAGCAATGATCTCATTTGGTAATTTATGAGAAGTATATTTAAAAGGAGTACATGAAATGATATAGAAGTCCAACTCACCCCAGCTTAAAAATACAAGCATACTGTAACTATCTGACTGGGTTTTTGAAAAAAAATTATTTAAAAAGTACATTTGCTAAAAATATAAAAAACAAAAAAACCCCACTGAGTCAAGTTTTGGTCTCCATTTCAATCTCTAAATGGTTATAAGAGTGCGAGTTAACTATTTTGCACTGAATACCACACTGGCAAGATCAGAAAGGCTGTGAGATGAGAAGGAAATTGTTATTCCAGTGATGGAAGCTCCTCTCCTGAGTATCCCCCTGCCAGCAGCTGAGACTTAAGAGGATTCTCACTATGAAAACCAGCGGTCCTTTAATCACACATTACGGGAGCATTTGTGACGCTTTGCAGGCAGCCCTCCTCTAAGACTTTCCCGCTGTGTTCTTTCCTGAGTACAATAGGTTCAAGATGGCTACTGCTGTTTCCTAGTTATGCCAAGGCTCTCCCAAATGCCACCGGGCTTTTATCACGGAGAGGGATGGCAAAACATCAAATGTGAATATCTTGTTCTAAACGGGGACTCCCACGATCATGTTATTTTTGGGAGAGCAGCTCTCTGGCTCCATGGATATCACTTGAACGGAGTAGCCACGTTCTTCTGCAGCTCTTGCTCGATCCAGATCCACCAGGCACATGCACTGTTTTCCTGAAATGTGTAAAAATGGTATCAAGAGATGCCCTTCAGCTAACAGTGGAGAGTCAGTTTGTTTAAGGGGCTCTACACAATGACAAAGTCTATTATGTAGAATGTTTGCCCCCAAGTCCTGTTTGGTCTCTTTCAATTTAATTCTTGATCAGTATGGAGAGAAGACAATAACAAATGTAAGACAATTTCACAGATTTGTTGCTGCTAGTAATTTAAACAACATTAACCTTTTAAGATGTATTTACAAATAAATCTCAAATAAAAAAACTACAAATTTCCTACTTTGGTAAAAATCCATGTTAAGACCTTTTCTCTTCACTCTCTATGAAAAGACATTATCTGCCATATTGTTAAAAAAAAAAAATCTGTCTTTAAGAATGTCCAAAATAACATCCAGACAAAGGGATACTTCAAAGACATATTATATTTTGCACTTGCAGTTTTTAGGGTACAATGAAGAAATGAGAAATAGAATATATTTGAGAAAATTCTCAATTATGTGCTGATTATTTCAGGTGGATATGTAACACTGAGTGTAATATAATCTTAATTTAATAGAGTGCCTGCATCCCTATGAAACAGTGGTATTCAATTTTCTTTCTAATCTTGGAAAACAAAAGAGGAAACCTGACTGGCAAGTAAAGCAGTTATTTTGTGTCCTTTGGCAAATGCAAACTTCTATTTCAAAGTAGCGAGGGAGGAAAAAAAAAACTGATTTGAGGTTGAATACATTCAAAGCTAAGGTTTACTTTTACACTTTCAATTTCTTTAAATTCAATATATAAACTTTTTCATCCTCTTGGAAAAAAAAGGTTATTGACTATGCAGAACTTCATTCACTCCATTTTTTTCCTCAACGATTATAATAAGGTCTATGCCTCATTTTAAAATGATTTGTTTGAATGACAGCAGAAATTGCTAAGTTAAAACAGCCTTAGAAGTGAAGGCATAACTGAAATAGAAAAGTTCTTCTGTGGAAACATGAATCCGCTCAGAAAAACAGAGGAAGGTGAAATCAGTAGCTAAGAAACTGACAATGAAAGATTCAAAATATTTTGTACATTTCCCTTAAAAGGCCCCATGCCAAAAAGGATGGACTGTGATGGAAACGTTATAAAAAGAGATGTCCAGAATTCCATTTAGGCTAAACGGCCCCTTCTTCATCAACAGCTGCATGACTGTCATTCTTTTTTTTCCTTAAAATATTGTTCCCCCTTTAAGACATCTGTAAATGTCCCCTCCTCCACCCCACCTACTCTTCAATTTAAAATGAAACATTCTCTGTCAGAATGGGATGCTCTGCATTCCTTCAGTACCCACCCTAGGTTTACACTGCAGCTCATTTACCCTTGGCTTTGATCCCAGTCTGGTTAATTTTTCCTTTTGCATTACATGGAAGGGTCTCTTGTTTTTACATGTTGAAGAAGTGTCTTCACAACTTAAATTCAGTTGTTGGTAGTCTACCTTTTAGGGTCTGGACAGCTTCCTCAAATGTTTACAGAACAAAAGTATGGCTTGTGCCAAGAAGAGACGTAGAATTGATGGAGTCAGTGACTTTGAACCTGACTTTCCCTCCCTTCATGCCAGCAATCTTGCCAAAGGCTCCTCCTCAACTCCAGCAATCTTCCTTCCAGCCACTCCCTTCTCATTTGATGCCTAAAACATCAACAGGTACACCCCCACCCACCACACCAATTATGCTTTCTTTGAGTCTAGTGGAGTTGTAGCAAATTAACTTGATATACATGTGTAAATTATATATCTCTCTCTATACACACACACATATATATATATTTGACTGTGCATTTAAATATGCATTCAGCTACTCAAAATGTGGGGATGGGAAAAAGGAGGAAGAGGGAAAAAGAATCAAAGAGGGAGATTGCAAGCTTCTTCCATATGTTCACACCCCAGGGTGTGAGACAAAGAAGGAAACCGCTTGTCCCTTCAGGCTCAGGTCTCAAATGCCTCTCCAACCATGATGTTGCTGCTATGCTGACTTGGACTTTAGAGTTTACAGATAACTTTTTCGCATACAATGTGGTCTCTGAATGCAAGCTAATTACTACACCCAGTGCTGGGCCAAAGAATCAGCAATCAGTTTTCTGCTCCATCATGACAGTTTTCAATGGGTGGCCTTTTGAATCATTTTTAAGATTATTTTGATTCCATTTGATCATGTTAAGCCCTAATTTTGGAACCTAACCTTCCAGTAATGACACTCTGTCACTGATGGTCACTGCAAAAATGGAGCTTTACATCTAGAATCAAATAATTTGGGTTTACAATGTGGCTTCACCATCCACTGGTCCTGGGCAAAATATTGCCCCAGTTGCCTACCTGCAAAATGTGAATAACAGCACGTATTCCACATGTATTTTATAAGAATTTACTGAGATAGTGGGTGGAGGACATTTAGCTCAGAACTAAAATGTGCAATAGCTGTTAGCTGCTGCTGCTAAGTCGCTTCAGTTGTGTCCGACTCTGTGCGACCCCATAGATGGCAGCCCACCAGGCTCCCCCGTTCCTGGGATTCTTCAGGCAAGAACACTGGAGTGGGTTGCCATTTCCTTCCCAATGCATGAAAGTGAAAAGTGAAAGTGAAGTCGCTCAGTTGTGCCCGACTCATAGCGACCCCATGGACCGCAGCCCACCAGGCTCCTCTGTCCATGGGATTTTCCAGGCAAGAGTACTGGAGTGGGGTGCCACTGCCTTCTCCTGTTAGCGACTATTATCTTTCTAAATGTGATTTCTCTTTCTAAAGCAAAGTCTTGGATAAATTCATTACTTAAACTTGAAATACTATTTTTCTTCCAAGTTAGGTAATGTTTAATATTACAAATGTCAAATAAATTGGCCTATGATTAACGTTATATGAGTATATTTTTTCTGCAAAAGAAAACATTATCATACTTGTTTATACATTTTGTAATATGTCAATTTTGGTATGCATAGTTGATTTTTCCATCTTTAGTATTTTCTTCCATGGCTTTTGAGAGATTCTTCAGTTTGTTTGTAACAGTAAGAAAAATATTTAACATAAATCTGCTCAATGTATGAACACTGAAAATACATTTGGAAGTATTAATGTTAACAAAAAATGGGATAAAATATTGTTATAGATAGAGCTCTTTTCAAGATGGATTTTATTCTGGGAAAAAAAACTTCAGTATCTCACTGATAAATGGACCATATAGCGGTTTCCCACTTTCCCATATGGAGTTGGTCCATTCATTCCTAGGCATCGTGGACATAATCTACGCAACAGCTGCTCTGTGAAAACACATACCTATGAGCCTTCGTTGGGGTGGAAGCTGGACAGCTGTCTGGTCTGCAAATCTGCACAGAATCATGTGTTCCTGAAAGAAAAAGCAATAGAATGTGGCTTTTTAAAAATCTTCTTTAAAGTTAAAAAAAAAATTCACTTATTTTTCTGAAACTCGACACCGCTTAATTAAATAAAGTGCTGCACAGATAGCACTTCCAGAAGCAGCACATTTTCAGAAAACGGTATTCAGTAACTTTTCTCCCTTCAAGTAGAGTGCTCTTCAGATGTAGTTCTTAAAAACAGATGCATGGAAGGTCCTCGGGGCTCTTTAACCGGCTGCTTTTAGCCAAAACATGGTTACAATTTGTGGTTATAATGTGTTAAACTCAAAGACCTAAAAGTCACTTATATTTCCCTTTTAATAAAATTTGAGTCTCAGGAACATGGCTCCAGGCAGATATTCCAAGTGGCTTTTCCTCCACGACAGGAAGGAAAGGAAGTACTCGAGAAGCTCCCGGCTGTGGCCTCTGTCGTTCTCCCTGTCCCCTGTCCCCCTCCCTTCAGCTGGTCCCGTCAGAGGAAAGTAGGCTGGCTCCCTCCCTCCTCTCACTCACTCCAGAAGGCTGCAGGAAGTGCACCTATTTAGATGCACACAGATGTGCTTAGCGCCTCCTGGGGGCACTAGTGGTAAGACAGGAGATGTTGGTTTGATCCCTGGAGGAGGGTAATCCCCTGGAGGAAGCCATGGCGACCCACTCAGGCACGCAGATGCACTTTACAGCAGACTGTAAAGTGGACTGGAAAGAATGGAAGGGACATTATTGCTTCTGCTTCACAATTTTAGGAAAGATTACCTTAATGAAGAAGAATAAGGCTTTAAAGGGAGAGAAAGGGGAAGGGTCTGCCCTGCACTCTTAAATCTGCAACTACACAAAGGTGAGTGATTAGTTAGAGCTAAGATAACTGCAGCGCTCCCATGACAACTGTTCATTCGGAGCAGCTGTGGTTTCCAAATGTGTAAATGATCTTATGGACGGAGGTTCGTGACATTGTACAGGAGACAGGAATCAAGACCATCCCCAAGAAAAAGAAATGCAAAAAAGCAAAGTGGCTGTCTGTGGAGGCCTTACAAGTAGCTGTGAAAAGAAGACAAGTGAAAAGCAAAGGAGAAAAGGAAAGAAATACCCATTTGAATGCAGAGTTCCAAAGAAGAGTAAGGAGACAAAAGAAAGCCTTCCTCAGCAATCAATAAAGAAATAGAGGAAAACAACAGAATGGGAAAGACTAGAGATCTCTTCAAGAAAATTAGAGATACCAAGGGAACATTTCATGCAAAGATGGGCTCAATAAAGGACAGAAATAGTATGGACCCAACAGAAGCAGAAGATATTAAGAGGTGGCAAGAATACACAGAAGGACAGTACAAAAAAGATCTTCATGACCCAGATAATCACGAAGGTGTGATCACTCCCACTGACCTAGAGCCAGACATCCTGGAATGTGAAGTCAGGTGGGCCTTAGGAAGCATCACTATGAACAAAGCTAGTGGAGGAGATGGAATTCCAGTTGAGCTATTTCAAATTCTAAAAGATGATGCTGTGAAAGTGCTGCACTCAATATGCCAGCAAAATTGGAAAACTCAGCAGTGGCCACAGGACTGGAAGAGATCAGTTTTCATTCTAATCCCAAAGAAAAGTAATGCCAAGGAATGCCCAAACCACCCCACAACTGCACTCATCTCACAAGCTAGTAAAGTAACGCTCAAAATTCTCCAAGCCAGTCTTCAGCAATATGTGAACCATGAACTTCCAGATGTTCAAGCTGGTTTTAGAAAAGGCAGAGGAACCAGAGAGCAAACTGCCAACATCTGCTGGATCATTGAAAAAGCAAGCGAGTTACAGAAAAACATTTATTTCTGCTTTATTGAATATGCCAAAGCCTTTGACTGTGTGGATCACAATAAACTGTGGAAAACTCTGAAAGAGATGGGAGTACTAGACCACCTGACCTGCCTCTTGAGAAACCTGTATGCAGCTCAGGAAGCAACAGTTAGAATTGGACATGGAACAACAGACTGGTTCCAAATAGAAAAAGGAGTACATCAAGGCCGTATATCGTCACCCTGCTTATTTAACTTATATGCAGAGTACATCATGAGAGCCCTTGGACTGCAAGGAGATCCAACCAGTCCTTCCTAAAGGTGATCAAATTCTGGGTGTTCATTGGAAGGACTGATGTTGAAGCTGAAACTCCAATACTTTGGCCACCTGATGTGAAGAGCTGAATCATTTGAAAAGATCCTGATGTTGGGAAGGATTGAGGGCAGGAGCAGAAGGGGACAACAGAGGATGAGATGGTTGGATGGCATCACTGACACAATGGACATGGGTTTGGGTAAACTTTGGGAGTTGGGGATGGACAGGGAGGCCTGGTGTACTGCGGTTCATGGGGTCGCAAAGAGTCGGACACGACTGAGTGACTGAACTGAACTGAAATGATCTTACCTGACAGCTTAGCAAACTCACTAAACTCAGATCTATCATGTCTCCTTGGGTTTTTGGACATTTAATTTGAGGACTTAATTTTTTCTAAAGGGTTATTCTGATTACCTTATTAAATAAGTTTTTGTGAGAAGCTGTTTCTTTTTGAAGGGTTACTTTTGTCTCAACTTTAACACATTGAAAAAAACCACTTTAATGCTCACTATAAAATTTAGTGGTAATGGGTAGGATACTAATAAAATGATTCAAATGAATAACTTTTATTAAGGTCCTGCGAACTGGCATAAACAAAGGGGAAGAAGAAGAGTTTATAACTGTATAATTGGAAGAAAAGGTAAGGCAAAGCCTGCCCTTTGTCCACGTTTATAAATTAAGATTCACTTTACGTAAAGACAATGTTGCGACAATCAGAATCTCACATGAGGTTCATTTCCCTTGTTCTGGTAAGTCTCACTATATTTTATTGAATTATCTGTGTATGTGTTCTTCCCAGTAGAAGTTAAATTCTGAAAGGGGAAGGTCCATAGGAGCTACTCAGTAAGGGTTTGTTGGCTAAATTGAACTGTGGAGAAAAAATACTTCCAAAGTGACTCTCAAGATAATAGGGCACTCCGTCCATTTGGTTCTGCCTGCCAGTCCACCCACCGTGGTTAAGAAGTACTGAGATATCATCTTGCAACAGCATGCAAGAGGTTTAAGACTTCGTAGTGCATTCACTCTTAAAAGATACTCAAAGGGCGGGTGGGGTGGCCAAGCAGATTTGGGGTGTGGGAGGAAAAGGAAATAAACACAACTGGGGTACCAGGGAGTTTTATGTTCTCTGGAAGTGCCTGGGTGCCCTGTGTCTTCAGACTCTAGAAATTTTAGATTTCTTTTCCCAGACAGTGAGGCTGTGGCACCCGACTTTTCACTGTCCTAGGTTTTTTACCTAGCATCCTAGAGGAGGGATTCAAGCAAGGGTCTAGTCTTTGTTCTTTGTTTATTCTTCAGTTCATTTTTTATTTTACGGCCTTTGCCGAAAAAGATGAGGAGTTTTAAATATTATGAAAGTAAAGTTCCTGAGGTCCTAATGTTTCCCCCAAAACCTATAGTTCCCTAGAATATGAAGATTTTAAATCCAGTAAGCAACGATGAAATAATTCTGGTTCATGCATTCTGATGAATGCATGTACACTCAAGTTCTGTACTTGGATGGGTGGGGGTGGGAGAGTTGGGGAAGGGGGAGAGGTAAGGGTAGGATGTGGGGCAGAAGACAGAGCTAGAGATGGGTGTTAAAGAGTTGTAAAGTAGAGGTGAGGGAGATATAGAGGCCAAGGTAGAAGAAGTGGGGATTTTTAGGTTACTCTATCTCGCAGTTTCTCTGTTGGAAGGGGAAAAAGGTAAAATTCCTAGAAAGCAGGGGCTGGTATATAAAATGAGACTGAGATTGCATATTTTTAGTGAGTCTGTGCAAGAAGTGGAGCTAACCAAACGAAGAATACAGACTAATTTATTAGCTTTTAATGGGATTATTTGTATATTTCTCTCAAATATCATCATTTCTTAGATTGTATTATATTACATCATTGATCAATTAATTCATAGTGATGGTCAGAAGCTGCAAACTGTTTTGCTCAGACTGGTGACTCAAAACCATGCAATGTTCTGACTAATGTTGGAAGACAGTTCTCTGTGGGTCTCTTGTGTTTCTTTACAACTTATGAGAAAAGGCACTGTCTTTGTTCCAGACCAGGGACTGGCAAACTATGTCTGGCCCATTGGCCAAGTTCAGTCTATGAACTGTTTTTGTATGGCCTGCAAATTAAGACGGGTTTTCGCACTTTCAAAGAGCAGTACACCAGTAACAACAATACAAGGACAATGTAGAGTATGTGGGAGATCTGCAAGTGCCCAGCAAAGCCTAAAGTATTTACTACCTTTTATAGAAAAAATTCGCCTCTGTTCCAGATAATCCTCTCAAAGTGAACAGTATTGGAAACTATATAGACTTGAAACTCCCCTTCTCTCCCTCTGCAGAAAAAGGGAGGCATGCTTACTGAAAGATTGCATCTTAAACATCCGGGCTTCCTCGCTCAGGTCTCTGTCCCTGTCATGCGCTTCACTGTACATGGAGGTGTCAGCCAGCACTTTCTCTGCTGCCCCGTGGGAACTGGGGCTCAGGGAGTCACTGCGAAACTGACGGCAGTCCAGCTAGTCCTACGCTGTGAGCAATACTGCCCTTTGCCTCTGACTCAGGGCTTTCCTATCTTCTGCTACTATCCATGAAAGCTGTGCCAAGCCAACTTGTTAGCTTGTGAGTAGGGTCAACTCTCAGACTTTCTGCAAATCTTGTCAGCTACTTGAAGATTAATCATGACCAGAAAGAAAAAAAAAACCTGTGTTAGATTCTCATGAGTGATTCAAGTGTACTAGATTATATACTCCATTAGAAATTTGAGAGGGAAAATATAAAGAAGGAATAAGAAGTATATGAGCAAAACATCTAGATCTTTTAAAAGTTTTCTTGTATGATAGTGTATGACCCCGCAATTCCACTGCTGGGCATACATACCATGGAAACCAGAATTGAAAGAGACACGTGCAACCCCAATGTTCATCACAGCACTGTTTACAATAGCCAGGACATGGAAGCAACCTAGATGTCCATCGGCAGACGAATGGATAAGAAAGCTGTGGTATATATACACAATGGAATATTACTCAGCCATTAAAAAGAATGCATTTGAATCAGTTCTAATGAGGTAGATGAAACTGGAGCCTATTATACGGAGTGAAGTAAGTCAGAAAGAAAAACACCAATACAGTATATTAATGCATATATATGGAATTTAGAAAGATGGTAACGATGACTCTATATGCGAGACAGCAAAAGAGACACGGATGTAAAGTACAGACTTATGGACTCTGTGGGAGAAGGCGAGGGTGGGATGATTTGAGAGAATAGCATTGAAACACGTATATTATCATATGTGAAACAGATTGCCAGTCCAGGTTCGGTGCATGAGACAGGGCGCTCAGGGCTGGTGCACTGGGATGACTCTGAGGGATGGGATGGGGAGGGAGGAGGGAGGGGGGTTCAGGGTGGGGAACACATGTACACCCATGGCTGATTCATGTCAATGTATGGCAAAAACCCCTACAATATTGTAAAGTAATTAGCCTCCAATTAAAATAAATTTTTTAAACAAGTTACCTTGTATGATAATATTTTCTTGAATTGTTCACTGAAATAGAAAAAAAAAAAGAATTACTTAAATACCGAAGATTAAAGAGTGGAAAGTCTTGGAGAAATTAAACTATAAATAAAAATATTTATTTTATCCGAAGGGTATAATGCTAGCCTGAACTAAAAACAATGCCAGTTTGAAGTATCTTCATAAAATGACAAAAGCACATTATCTGTATGTGATTCATTTTAAAGAATTCCTTTTCAAAGACTGTTTATAGCATTAGAGAAGCACAACCACTTTTTTCTCTTCCTTGCATGAGTGCACACAGATTCAGGCATGTTTAAAATGTAGGTTTTATTGTTATTCTGAAGCAGAGGGGCTGTCCAGAGTTGTCTGGTACCTGGCCCTAGGGTGATCAGGGCAAGGGGACAGTGGGGCCTGGGAGTGCTCCCCTAATGACAAAGGGGACAAGTGTCAGTAAGTCCACAGAGAAGTGGAAAAGTTGACAGACACTAAATTGAGACTTTAAAATCAGTAGACTGAACAACTTAAATTAACATATTTAATCTATCCTATATGTAACAGGTGTGATATGATCAGCTGGATTCTCAATAACCATAAATCAAGTGAAATGTCATGAACACCAAGAATGGCCCTCCACTAGCGTGCATTAAGGGCTTTCCAGGTGGCTCAGTGGTTAAGAACCCGCCTACAATGCAGGACATGGGTTTGATGCCGGGGTGGCGAAAATTCCCTCGAGGAGGAAATGGCAACCCGCTCCAGTAATCTTGCCTGGAAAATTCCAAGGACAGTGGAGCCTCGCGGGCTATAGTCGGACGTAACTGAGCATGCGTGCAGGTTGAGTTAAAGTGATGATGACAGTTAAAATGAAAATATCTCCCTTTTCTATGTGAGGTAAGTAAGTGTAAGTGTTATTCGCTCAGTCGTGTCCAACTCTTTGGGACCCCATGGACTGTAGTCTACCAGGCTCCTCTGTCCATGAGATTTTCCAGGCATTGATACTGGAGTGGGTTGTGATTTCCTTCTTCGGGGGATCTTCCCAACCCGGGGATCAAACCTGGGTCTCCTGCACTGCAGGGACATACTTTACTGACTGAGCTACAGGGGAAGCCTAGGAGGACAGTAACTATGGCCATGGAGCTTGCAGCACCCTCGGGAAGAATTTAAACTATTGCTGTGGTTAACAATAGCTCATGTTTATTGAGTACTTACTCTGTGCCACTTCTAAGTGATTTACATGTATATCGTTCAATTCTCATAAAAGCCCTGAGGTAGATATTATTATTATTAAGTAGACTGCCTGAGGTGAAACAATTTACAAAAGAATGAGAAGCCAATATCAGCACTCAGGCAGAAAACTCTCAGGTCCTGAGGACTTGACCGCTGCCCTCTATTGCTCTCATAGGTAATGGTTTCCTCTGAGAAGTACACAGAGGAGTGCTGCCTGCCAGTCACTTCCAGTCCACTTTTTAACTCCTCCACCGATCTGTTCTAAATTTCAGCAAAAGTTGGACCCGGGAGTAGATATGGAGGGGAAGACATGGAGGAGATCCTCTCCTCCTTATGCAGCTTAGAAACAATGCTTGCCATTGTGGAAAGAGGAAAGGAGCTGGAGCCTAGAATCTCATTGCAACTTTATATCAAAAGGGTTTTGGGTATTGATTTAACACCGATATTGATACCTTGTGGCAGAACACAAGATTTCACCTTTTTGGAAAATTAAACTTGGAGGTGTTCTGAATGAAACCGTAACAGCAAGGGCATGTGATAAAGGAAGCCCGTGTTTTGAGGCAGTGCTCGATCACCATGTCTGTTGCCACTCCACACGCATGCAACGCCACCTGGAAAACAAGGCCAGACCTCAGCACTAAGATCTTTTTTAACTAACAGTGCTCCTTGGTGCCATTAGAAAACAAACAAACAAAACTTAAGGATTGTTCCTTAAGAGGTTTCCAGTTACCAGAAAGTTATTTCATAGTAGTTTAAATAGTTCTCATTTGGACATGCCAAAGGACTAATTAGGTATTCATATTAATTAAGAAAATTAAGCAAGAGGCTGAAAGATTACAAATGGAACATTTATAACAGCACAAGATTCATTCAACGGAAAAGCTGATGTCATATTAAACATGGAAGATTCAATATGTATGCAAGTCTATACTAATGCTCTTACTGATTGAAACTTTAGTTCAGTTGTGGCATCCTAGCAAGAACTCTACTTGGAAATCAGAATTTCTAGTTCAGAACTCTAATTGGCTGGGTGATCCTGGGCTGCTTGAAATTTAACATCTTTGGGCTTCAGTTTCCTCCACCATAAACTATGGTTAATAATACTGACACATCACAATGCTGTTGCAACAGTAAACAGAAGTATATTTGAAAACACTTTTTCAAACGCCATCTGAATATATTCTCATCAGTGTTGTATAAAACTGATCAAATCATATTTATGTAGCTCCTTCTTATATTCATAAAATTACAATTCTTAACACTGCATGATGAATTGTGGGAAATATTCTTAAAGGGTTTATTTAGAAAGGAAAAACATTGTGGACTGAAGTCATGAGTAGTGCATCAATAATTCATGAAAAGAAAAATAATATGACTTTAAAATGTTTTTAGAATAAATGCCTTAAATATATCTATACTGCACCATTACCTAAAGTAGACCATTTTGAAAATAATTAGGCTAAATAAGGAAAATTAGGACTCCAAAAGGAAATCAGATGTAGGGATCCTGAAAGATGAAGCATTTTGTCAGAAAAGTGCTCAGATCTCATTCTGAACAGAGGCAAGTTGTACTGGATTATAATTGTCCTTTCCAGAAACAAATCTTTCAACTTCAGGATAGGGAGGGGCTGAAGGGCTTTTAGGGTGAAGACAAGGCGGTTTTCTGGAAATTTCTGGATATTAAATAGTGTAAGTCAGATTCCCCTTTTGAACTGGCAGACCAAAGACAAAGCTGTATTGAGAAGAGAAAGCAGGCTCTCTGCTCTCAGCCCTGCTCCTGAATTCTCCCCTCCTTGCAGGCTTCCATCAATTCCATAGAGGTCAACTATCTCCGTGGTTGCTGTCAACCACCTTTCCCGCTTCACTCTGCGAGTATCACCCAGGTAGCCTGCTGTCCAGTGAAGGGAGCAACAACTAATGGATAGGAAAGAACCTGGATTTTTTCATCTGCCCACTTTTTTTATAAATCAGTTTTGCAGGGTGAAATTCAGGCTAGTTCTTTTTCTCATTGAGTGGCTGGAGAAAACCTCATAGTAAAAATTATAGACGCACTTTTCCCTGGAGGGAGAGAGAAGAGAACCAACACTCTCCCCGAGCCCTTTATGTGTTGGCAACTATGCTGGGTGATGGCACACACATCCTTCTATGCTCACAACAGCCCTGAAAGATTTTATTATCTCCGTTTGAGAAGTGGAGAAACTGAAGCTTGGGGAAATTAAGTATATGTTCTCAACAAAGCAGATTCTGAGGGGCAGAATCCTGACCCCCAGCCTGACCCATGTAGTTCAAGGGTCAACTGTACTATGATTATTCCTATATTGGCAGGGGGAGGAGAATGTATATAGCGTGGATACCCTGGACAAAGGAATGACTCATGTCCTGGGCTGGTTGGAGGACAGTGTATAATTTCAAATTTAGGAATTCGTGGGTTTTTTTTGGAATTTTCCACTTAATATTTCAGACCATAACTGACCACAGGTAACTGAAACCAAGGAAAGCAAAATTACAAAGATGGGGGTGGGGGGAATACTGTACACTCCTTCTAATTTTCTTTATCTCATTGGTCCTACTATCTTCTGGAATTACAACACCATAGGGAACTAGCATATATTCAGTGTCTGCAAGATGTAAAAATCTCTACATAGATATTTTTTCTTATTTTAATCACTTAATTCTTTTCTTTTCTTAAATTGATACTTTAAATAGATCCTTCTATGTCTCTTGCAATATCATGACAAGGTCGCCTAGACAGCAACCATTCCAGATGAACTCTGAATCCAGGTCTGACTCCGAAGCTCACAGGCTTTCCACTACATCATTTATGAAACCTAATTTCTAATTACATTTTAAACATCTGACTAGACAGTTTATAACATAATAAATAAAGGATAAATAGATTTATTAATATATATACTGGATAGATCTGACAACTGTAGAAAGAGCATAAAACATAAACTATGAGTATCCAATAAAGGTTAATGTGCTGGGGGAAAACACCATACTTAATCAACAATTAGTTGAGAACATAGCAAACAAGTGTTTCACTGATCCCCCAAATTTGGTATTGTGGTTCTCTGTAAATACACTGAATTCTAACAAAAGATAAAAATTGAATTGTAAAAGTATCTATTGGCCAAGGTAATGCACATTCCAAAGTATATGTAAATATTATTGATCCAAGTAAATGCTGAAGAATTCAGGGACTATAAATTAAGGGCTTTCCCCTTACTTTTCCTTACTTCAATTAATCTATTTAATACATGTCCTAAAAATTCTAAGTATAACACATCCTATGATGTAAGCCAGTGAAATATAACTGAACAGCCAAGAAATTTCAAACCATGTATCTTTGCTACATGTGGTAGTAAATAAAAGAAATTAATCATCACTCACTCTTAGAATGTCTTTCAACTGGTAGCTTCTAAAAAACAAGGCAAGATTCTAGACAAAACTGATTGATTCTTCTCTAAGAAAATGTATGTTGATAAAGGCACATATATTCTAAAAGAATATATGTTGGTAAAGACAGTAAGCCTATGCCTTATTCATACCCCCAAAACTAAGCTTGTGCTGGATTTATGAGTTTACTAGGCATCCTATCCTTGGGGTTGTTTTTCTTTGCTTTGGGTTTTTTTTTTTAAGATTAATTTAATATTTAATAGTCTTTTCCTAGTCCAAATCACAGATACATATGTTGTATTCCCCATTTTACAAAAAGACCAAGTGGCTAGTCCAAGGTCATAAATGACGAAGACAAGATTTAATCTCAATCTCCCTAACACCATTATTCTAATTCTCTATGTTCCTTGTCTACTTCTTTCTTTAGACGTGAGGAGCGAACAGGGAGTCACTCCAATCCCAGGTCTCACATTAACTTGCTACGTTCCTCTTCCCCAAGTGCAGCCTCAACTTTCGTATCTATAAAACGAGAAAGCTAAACTGAATCATCTCTAAATTTGCCTCAACCCAATCATGCTCTGAGCCACTGCTTCTCAAAGAAGGATTCTTAACCAGATAATCTTAGACAGAAGCAAGCTTGGTCTCAATTGATCTCCTGTTCTCCCTCTTCAAAAACTTTGACGCAATTATATTATAGGTAATTGGTTTTAAAATTGAAATAATGCTAAAAAGGAGGGAATGACAAAAACAGTTCCTTGTTCTGTACACACTTCACTCCAAGAGAAAATCTGGTGAACAGATAATGCTTTTCAACTCATTGGTTTTCTTTCCTGAAATCCACCTCTGTTTTTCTATACAATAAATGTATATTGCTTCCCTCAAATCAAAACTATAGTGAGGTATCATCTTACTCCAGTCAGAAGCCATCGTCAAAAAGTCTACAAATAATAAATTCTGGAGAGGGTGTGGATAAAAAGGAACCCTCCTATACAGTTAGTAGGAAAATAAATTGGTGCAGACACTATGGGAAATAGTATGGAGGTTCCTTATAAAACTTAAAATAGAGTTACCATATGATCCAGCACTTCCACTCCTGGGCATATATCCACAGAAAACCATAATTTGAAAAGATACATGCAGCTCAATTTTCACTGCAGCACTATTTATAATAGCTAAGGCATGGAAGCAACTTAAGTGTCCATCAACAGATGAATGGACAGCAAAGATGTGAGACAGGGCCTTCCCTGGTGGTCCAGTGGCTAAGACCCCAAGTTCACAATGTAGAGGGCAAGATTCAATCCCTGGTCAGGGAACTAGATCCCACATGCTCCAAGTAAGTTCACATGCTGCCACTGAAAGATCCCAGATGCTGCAACGAAGATCAAAGATTTCAAGTGCTGAAACTAAGACCCAGCATAGCCAAAAAATAAGCACATTAAAAAAAACAACAGCTGTCTGCCCTCACAGTTCAGCAGAGGCTCTGACACCTGAGGGCAATTCTGAAAAACAAAAAAGAAGATGTAACGTATATATATAACATATATATATATATACACACATTATACATATATATAACATAGATATATTCTAACATATTATATATTAATATTATATAATGTATATATGTGTGATTAATGTATTACATTAATAACATATTAGTTACATATTATATATATTATCTCCAAATTTTAGTTAAGTGTTCATGCAGTGTTTTTTATTATTATTTCTTTGTATATTAACTGTATATATAGTTCACTGCTACATGTGCTGTGAAAAATTTTTTTCTAAACATTCAAGACTTTCCCTGCACAAAAGTTCTGTAAAATGTTCTATGGTACAATTTTCCACTGTGTGAAAATTCTCAAAAAATTGGCCAGTTCCATTTTTCTTTCCTGAAGACATCTTTCCTGGGCATCTGACCTTTTACTAAAACCTGGATTCACAGCTTTCTAGGACTAACACCTAGCTCTGTTGTCTGGTCCTGTGACTTTCCTTTGCCATCAGACTAAGAACTCCCTTCACCCATTCTTGTATTAGAGACCACTTATTCCTTTTTATTCCATCTTTCATCCAGCCAAATGTGGAGAAACCCTTATACAGTCAGCAAAAACAAGACCGGGAGCTGGCTGTGGCTCAGATCATGAACTCCATATTGCCAAATTCAGACCTAAACTGAAGAAACTAGGTAAAACCACTAGACCATTCAGTTCAT